GTCTGGCAGTGGAAAGGGACAAGGGTAAAGAGAGATGGGATAAGAACGTGCGAATCAGGAAAGAGAGGGTGAGCGTAGGAGATATGGTCCTTCTCTACGACGCGGCACTGGAGAGGACCTGGACCGAAAAACTCGCAAATAGATGGATGGGACCTTACAGAGTGGTTGAGGCGCTCGACTGGGGTGCATATATGATAGCAGAATTGGATGGATCTAAGTGGAAGGACCCAGTGGGGGGCGCTAGGTTAAAGTTGTTTAGACCTAGGCCTGCACCCACCTTATCACTGACGGCCCCCAAAGGAAAGGGGAAGGCTAAGAAGGAGGATGGAGATCCCTTGAGACGATTCGAGGCAGGCGAAAGATCCAAGAAGAGAAAAAGAATAGAGAAAAGAAAGGTCAAAGGGTTAGCTCTAGGAAGAAAGAAGAAATGGTTATTCGTGCTCAAGAGGGCCAAACGGAGAGTCCGCATTAGACAAACTGGCGGGACGCCACCCTTCTCGGGCCAACGACAGAAAAAAAAAAGGATCCTACCAAGGCCGAGAACCCGGCGGGGAAGGAAAGTCAAAAAACATCTACTTAGCCCTAAAACTCAAAACAGATAGAAACATAAGACAATTGAACGTCGACGTGGGCGTCCTTTACGGGCCATCACCCTGAAGATCGTCCGCTTCGTCTGACGTAAGTGGGTAGGGCTCGACGGGGGCGTCGAGAAGTGGTCCGGGCTAACTGTCAGGCGACCACAAGCAGTGCGCCGCCTGAAATCTGGGGTTTTGGGTCTTAGGCTCAAAGACAAGTCCGTGTTTTGACGGTGCTCCGGGTTGACCAGGCAACAAAAATTAGGGGAGCTCAGGGCACCCCTGATTTTGGGCGCGTTGAACTTTACGAGCAACCCTCAAAGACGACGAGATGAGTGGCCGCACTAGGCGCGACCGGGGCCGAAATGAAGCCTCAAATTTTTGCCCATATTAATACCACAATTAAAGATGGGGAAAAGGGATCAAGGCCAGAAGTGGAGGAATGAAAAATATAATATCCCTTAATTTCTTTATTTTTCGCGGCATTTGATTCTATGGGGAATATCCTTGTTATTTTGTGTTCCCGGCAGAGAAATTAAAAACATAGAAAAAGATTAAACATGGAAAAAGAGGAAAGAAACAAAAGAAATTCGGCCATTTATCTAAACTTTCTCGGAATTTAATTTTGGGGAATTTACGGTTGATTTGCTATTTTCGATAATAGAATTAAGGAGAAGGAAGAATGATAAAAAAAAACGATGAAAGGGGTGGGAACCCACGACCATTGAGAGATTGGCCTTATTTCGCCTTGAATACCCGCCGTCAGCACTGACCCTGGATTGATCATTTTCCCCGGATTCTAACAATTTTTACTTCTGTTGATGGTCGAGGAATCCTGCGTCGCTTTCCCTGTTGCCTGAATACTAACGTTGCCACAGTTGGGGTGTTCTGAGAGCGGGAGTCGCATGGACCACATGGGGTGGTGCTACCTTGGGTAGAGAGTATGGGATGTGGCTTGGTACGAGTAAGGGGGTTCAAAGAGATTCTACACTGTTATGGAGTGGCTGCATCCTACGGAGTCCGGCGTGTTTCTAGTTCGGTATGGGCACGGCGACCCTGGGGACGCAGCGGTGATCTATGTTCAGGACCAGAACCCCTACGACAGTTTATTTCAGGTTTGGAGCCAGCCAGGGTCCGGAACCGCTGCGCCGCCATATTTCAAGGTCGGCGTCGGTTTGGCACATCCCACGATAGCATTTTCACGCTCGGCAGCACTACGGAGGCTTATTTCAAGTACGGGACCTYKACARCAGTTATTCCCGAATCGGCGCCATCACGGGTACTTATTTCACGTTYGGCGCTACCACGGCAGTTTGTTTCAGGATTGAGGCCATTACCGAGACATATTGCGGGCACTGTAGTAATTTATTTCCAGGGYCGGAAYCGGTACGACAGTTGCTTCGGCTTCAATATCAGTTTATTTCGGACTCGCTCCTACCGTGATACCTCGTTTCAGCTTCGGTGCCATTACCGTGACTTATACTCAGGTTTGGGACACTGCGGCGATTTATTACCTGGCCGCGGCCACTACAGCAGTTTATGACAGGGTTGGAACTTYAACATCTTGGCTGCACGGTCCTGAGATGGCGTGATACAGCAGCCCACCTCTGCTYTTCAGGTTCGGTCAKACTCGGYACCAGTGCGGTGCAGGCTATTCAGGTTCGGGATAGTACGGCATGTTGCTCGCCCCTATGTGGCAGCAGGTCCGTGGTCCCTATTTCTCAATGATTGTTTGAGTCCGGCCCCGGAACCAGCGGAATCGGCTACTGCAGTSGGGAGAGACATTYAGGCGCAATTGACCAGCGGATTAACTGAGAACTGGCCCGACTGTGACGTGCCTAGGCCTTAAGGGCCTTGGTACTACGACACCCATCTGTTGGCTCGAGGGCGGTGCTCACGTACCAGGTGCCGATGRTCTYKGCTGTACAAGCAGATGCTGAATGAATATAGGGCCRGACAGAGGAGAAAGGGGGACGGTGTGCAAGGCGTACCCGCGATACCGGGCTCAGGATGGAAACATCGATGCGCAGACTGTTGCACGGGGGATGAGGGGAGAGGACTGGTGGATGGCATGCCAGGCGTACCCGACGCACAACTGTTGCGGAGCATTGCAAGCACGGGGGAGACGCGTCGACACTCAGGCGGTTACTCGCGTGTGAGAGGGAGAGTGAGAGAGAAGGGGACTGCACGGCGGGAGTGAGAGACTGTGTGTGTGTGTGAGGGTGTGCACTCGAATCAGAGAACAGGCAAATGTGAGGAAGAGAGCCAGCAAACCAGCGGGTGATAGACTAGTGGGGACAGCGCTGGCTAGCTGGAGGAAAAATATATTATTATTAATTTTATTAAAATCCCATCCTACTGGACCTAATGATCAGGTACATCCAGACTTGAACACACGGCACAGGGAAAAAGGTGGTAGAGTCATCCGAGCTATGCAGGGAAACGGGAGAGAGAGAGTCCGCAC